ACTCACCCAAAGGACAAAAAAAACTTCCTTGCCCCTCTTTAATAATTTTATTCCTGACTTACTACAATAGATGTGCATAGTACTCTTTCTATTAATTCCTTGTTCCCCTTTTAAATTAAAAAGTTAAAAGGGTCTTAAACAAAAGAGAGGATATACAGATAAAAAGAATATAAATATTAGATAATATATACCTTGATTATATATATAATAAATTTCTGTGTATGTTAACTGTAATTAGAAACGAACAAAATTAAACTTTTTACCTTTATTAATAAGTAAATAAATTTTACACTAAAAAATGATACCCAGAGGAAAAGATAATTGTTCCGCCTATAAAAAATTCATATTATTATTATAATAAAAAAATAATACGATTATTTTTAATGTAATAATAATAAATATATTAAGTAAAATATAAAATATTTAGTTTAAAAAAAAAATTAGTAAAAAGATTTAACACTTTTATATTCAATTTAATAATAATAAAATAAAAATATATTAAAAAGTAAAATAAAACGATTTAAAAAAAATATTAATAAAAAAATAAACTCAGCCAAACTGGCTGCTTAATTCATGTCTTATCCTTACATCTCCTTTTCCTTTCTCCCGTGTTTCTTCTTTGTTCTGTTTTTAAAAATTGACCTATAATAATTTGCACTTTGACCTAAGGGGTTTACTTTGTAAGAAAGAATATATAGTATCACCTACTGTATTAAGTAATTAAAATTGGTTACTACTATCTATCATTACAAAATGTGTAATATACGTTGTAAGCAGTACAAACAATGAGGGCATTCGGTCAGAGTCCACTGGAAGCGAACTTTAATAATATTTAGGTCTTATATACCTATTGTACCAGTTTAGAATATAACTAAAAGTACTAGTAACCATTGGGAGTACAGTTATTTTCAGAGCATTTGCTCGTGGTTTTTAATAACTAACTAATCCTTAACTGTTTCATACTAGCAATGACGATAGTTGAGTTTAAGTGTGGATCTTGAAGCATTCATTAAAATCCTTAAGGAGTTATAAAAAACTTGAAGTTTATTAGTTTGACAATCAAGGCAAGACCAACTCAACATTGCATACAAATTGTGAGTTAGTATATAAGCAGATCATTATTAGGTGAAGTCTTCTAAGTCTACATATTTACGAGCAAAAAGCTAATTTTTGGTTAATAGCAACTTTCCAGTACCTAACCTATTATTTTACGGAAAGAGCAGTTTGAAATATTTTCTTGAACTTTACGGTTTTCATATATCTTTTTTTCTAGTTATTATCAACGATGAATTTCCAGAGCCACAGTCGACTAAATTTCCAAAGTTAGTGTTGCGAACCTCATCAAAAAACACTGATATACACCATATTCGAATTACCCGTTTATATGCGGACTGTAAATTTTCTGTACGACTAAAAGATTTTTATCATATGCACTGAGGATATAGACATTCAAAACTTGCTCAACTTGAATTAGAAACCCAAAATGCCAATTTATTACTAAGGCTAATTTAAAGCCCAAAAGTATTGTAGTGGTGATTATTTAATGGTTAGAAGCGGTTTAAATTAACTACAACTCCAAAAGTGGACGCCCGCGGTTGAGTGCGATTAATCCGTTATAAAGGTACACAAGTTCGACAGAAGTTTTAGTTAAAGACCGTGTAAATCTTAGTTATCTTAATTTACGAAGTACCTTTTCAAATGGAGAATCTAGCATTTTGTCTTTCCGTTTACAAAGTTTTAAATTTCCTAAGTACCATAGCCTTTGGCAGTTAACAAATGAGAGTAAAATTATGGGTAGATAGTCTGTGACAAAATTTCCAGGCTTTCCTAATTTAGAAAATTTAACGATCTTCGCTAACCGCCAACGATTAAACGTAGGTTAGTAAATTTTCTGTTGAAGAGTTTATTTGTGAAGGCGGTAACCTTAGTAGTAAAGTGTTTAAAAAAAGGTTAAAAGCACCGTCCAGTCCTAGAGTCTTTTAGTTTAAAGCAAGTAAATATAATAGATATCCTTCCCAACTAGGTCTAGGTTAGGAATAGAGATTTGCTGCAAAAACGGGTACATAGTAGTGAGTTATGAATTTTTCGAAAAACTAGGATTAGTATCGTACAAGCACGATGGTTTTATTTTTAGCAGTGCCCGCTAGGACATTATGATGTACGGCCGGTATGCTAGGTAATACTCCACCCGGGGTCGAGGGACTAAATTTCCATAACGGTCAATTAGCTGAATTTAGCGTTTTAACTTTTATTCCCAGTTTATTTTTTTCGCTTAGGTTAGAAGACATATTTTTTAATCCAAAAGCTGAAATTTGACTTTTTTAGTGAAAGCTTGTCGATAGCCCTGTTTATCCTAAAAAAGCCAGGCAGCCCTATCCTTCGCAGAGTGGTTTTCATTGCAGTTGCGTGGATACAAAGTAATTTTATGGTGGAAAGAATTCAAATGAGTGATGCTTTGAGCTATACTTAACGCATCTCGCTATGCCCGACAGCCTCTCATGTGTGGTGGTACGGAAACATTCTGCTGTAACGAAAACTTTTTTTCTTTTAAGACCCTCTATAGGGTTATAACCTTTTTTCTTTTTTGGTTTTAAAAATAAATTATCTTATAGTTCTGTAAACAGTCTCCTAGCTTCTTTTAAGATATAAACTTTACGAAATTTACGTCTTTTGTGGAAAATTAATAGTATAAATAATATTAACCTTAAAAATTTGTGGGGCGCAAGTGTTATTTTTTGAATTAAGAAATTTTCAAAATAAGCATTATATTTCAGTTTTGCGGTATGATTTAACTAATTATTATTGTTAATAATATATACAATCTTACTGTTACTTTTTTCTATTCTTTATTATTATTACTAATCATGCTATTACTATTCATATTATTGTTGGTGGGAAATACCGTTTTCACCATTGTTATTAATGGGGTGGGCGACATTGTCATCATCCACGTTATTGTCGGTTTGTGTACTACATCAGCTTCTACTATTTTTTTTTTCATTGGTCCAAGTTTGTTTAAAATTTAAAAAGCGTAGAATGAAGAACTTGTGCTTTATGTGGTTTCAAAAGACTCTTTCTGCCATTAAAAAATACTTTATTTGTTTATTGTTTTTTTAAAATTATTTTATCCTACTATGTAGTTTCTAGCTCTTTTTAATTCCTCATTAATTGCTAACAGGTTGGTACCAAGCATCCGCTATTTGCCTTTTGCAAAAGGAAGACTCATGCCTTGCTGATATGAACTCAGTAGGATTTGTAAATGATAACTATGTAGGCAAGTAATATTTTTTTTATAGTCAAGTTCATTTAAAGAAAAATGTAATTAATTAAAAAAGTAGGATATTTGACTCTTATGCTAATGAAGAATATTTCCCAGTTTTGCAATTAATAAGTTCACGGACAAAAGTTGGTCGCTTTGTTGACTTTTTGGCGTTGAGGTGCTAGCTTTGCCTTGCTGTTCATAGGTAGTAGTGAAACAGAAATGGTTAAATAAATAGATCGTACATATATAAATTTTACTTAAACCAATCTTTAGTAGCCGCTCTAGTGTTGGCACAGAATAACAATTGCAAATTTTTGCATAATCGTCCTCGCCGTTAACCTCAAATTATACATACTAGTTACTTAATTATTTTTTTTTTTTATGGTTAGTAGTAAATATATATTGACTATTTAATTGGGAAATTCTAACATTTGTGTTGGTCAAAGACAGCATTTTAGAAATTGCAAGGCGTTTACAAAGAACTCTAAATACTTTTAATGAAGGTATGGATTTTATGTCCTGATTTGATACATCGAATATAAAATGTACAAAGGCCAATTAAGTTTAATATTATTTACCAACTCTATATAAGTATAATGCGCGGTTAATTCTCATAATTTATCATTTGGTCTTTATAAGTTATACGATACATAATTTATATCGTAAAACATTACCACAGAGGAAAAAAGTAGAGCTTGGACGCCTCAACCAGCAGGCAATTACCTTTATATATTTTTACACTTCAATTTTTATACACACTTTGTATTTACATTAATGCAACCATGATAGACCGTCGAAATAGCAACTATGAGGGAAACCAAATATATTTACACACAGAATATAATAAAATGGTTCCAGTGCTTATTAATAACTTTTTCTCGAGGTATTTCTTATTACGGTTGTTGTTATGAATAAATATTATTAATTAACGACCAACTAAAGCCGAAGTTCTTAAAAAATTACCAAGAATGTGATAAGGTTCCCCTCGTTGGAAGCAGAAGGCGTCTATAGTTAATGTTAAAAACAAGATAACCATCTAATACAAGAAAAATTAAGTTCTGTTTAGTGAGATTTCTTCGATTTAATAACTCGTTCTCATGATGGGATATTATAACAATTCCTCACCCCTCTTGAATAGCAAGTTTTAACTAAAGTTTCCATTCCTTCTAGGCGTGTAACGCTAATTCTTCTTTTGAATCTATCCGTCGCCCCATTTTGGTGGACGCCCACTTTAATGATTTAAAAACTGTTATCAAGAGCGTTAATATACCCCATTTTGCCGAAAAAACCATGTTCGATTTTTATTATACCAAAAAAAAAAGGTTGTCGTACACGATGTCTAATCCTAGAAAACAACTGTTTCTGTGCGTCCTTTCAAAAATTTTCAGCAGAACGCAATCGTGCAAGCTGTTAAGAGTCTATTAATAAAAGTGTTTAGCGTGCGCATAAATTAGCATTATATGCAGGTAGTAAAAATTAAGGACAATGTTGTCATAATACAAGTTAGCTACTATTTTATCTTATAAAGTTATAGTAATTATGGCACTTCTTTACTTCTTAAAACCAGGCTCTTTAATGAAATCTACTCCCTTACAAAATTTTTACATCTCTTAATAATATGATTATTCAGAAGAAGCTTTCATACTACTTTTTAAACCCTATTTTTTGTTTAATAAACTTGCTAATGCACCTTTTAACACTAAAAGCCGGCAAAACAATTTATGTCGAAGATCTCAAATTATTGGTTGGTTTGGCGGATCACGTTCAATTCCATCGCTAAGCGTGATTAAAGTTTAGCTCAAAGGGTGGCATATCGATCTTTACTATTAATCTTTTTGTGATTGACTTCCTCAGGGCTGTTGTGTCGTTATGCTTTTTGTTGGAAATTTTTGTAGATGGCCGAAATGTGAAGAAACCTTTAAATCTGTTGAGGATTTAATTCAGCATGTTGAAGAGGTATGATAATAACTTAAGCCGGAGTTAATTGTGATGTTTACCCCTTAACATCAGACTCACGTCCCCAAAAGTGACACTCCTGTTTTAAACGACTCTGCTACGATCCATCTCTCCTATATAAGCCGATACTTTACTGATGAAGAGGCACATATATTTTTTTTAGCGTTAGGGATTATGCCTTATGTTCCTTTTATATAAAAGTTGGAGAAAAGAAGAGTTGAGCGAAGGTTGCAGTCATCCCAAACAACATTGAAAACTGAGGTTATTTAAGTTAGTGTAACAATACTTGGTTTGTATCATAACGTAAAAAATTGTAAGGAACATCGTTGTAGGCTTAATGGCATATATTTTGTTCGATAAACTCTATATTTGTTCTTAATTATATTGGTTAACACTTAAGGATAAAAGGAAAACTGAGCTATTTAAACCGGCAATTGAACATTCCGTTTCTGGTTTTACTTCTAAGGGCTTTACCGAGTTAGATAATAGTAATACTTTGAGGTTACACCTCGCCACCTAATAATTTTGTTAAAGGGCGTGTATATAGTTTTTTTAAATTAATAGACGAAGTTTTTCTGAAGAAGTTGTTGAGATTTTGGGTAGAACTGCTCGGGAGACCTTGGTACCTGGTATATTTCACTAGAGTTTTTTTTGTTAGCGAGCTTGTTTTGTATAATTTTTATATCAAAAGTAAACTTATAGTTCTCTGTCGCCTTAAGGTGCTGAGAAGGCTTATGTTTGTCCTGTACCGGGTTGTGGTAAGCGTTACAAGAACGCAAACGGCATCAAGTACCATGCTATCCACGGCCACGGCGCACACAACCAAGTTAGACGACAGAAATTTAACGCGTCCTTGTACTTAACTGTTACTTGTTAATATATAACTATCGCTAGCTCCGCGTTTACAGTGATCTTGGTGTTCTTGCCTGTTTTTATTAATTTTACGGTCCAATAAACTTTTTGCTATTAAGCGTACATAATTTTATTTAGACTTTTTATAAATATCGACCCATATTGTGTTTAGGGCGTCTCACTCTTTTACAAAAGTTTCGCTTTGCCCGATGTAATAGTTAATTTAGATTTTTTACGTAGAAGTGGTGGCCCCACCCTAATCTTATTTCTGGCCCTCTTTGGCATTTATTGTGCCTGGTCCGTTAGGATAAAAGAGCTGCTTAAGAGCGAGGCTGTTTGGTGCTATTAAGAGAATGAAGTTTAAAAAGTTCCTTACTATTTTTTTAACATTTATTATATTACAGGCCTTACAAGTGTGAAGTTAGCGGGTGCGGCCGTCGCTATAAAAGCAGCAATGGCTTACGCCAGCACATGATAGCCACTCACGGACCCGATATTAAAAAGATAGCCAGGATTGACGCCTCTCCCGCAGAAGAGGAAGGAGCTCGGCTCCCTTTGAACAATGGCAGCGCTGTGCCTCAAGGCTCGGAAGAACCAGAGACCTCGTGTTGCTCTTCTTGCAAGACCTCTAACGACCTGCAAAGTCTGCCAATCGCTTCCTATCGCAACGGCGAATCGATCGCAAACATCACAGGCTCCTCTGCTCCGGTAAATTTAACAGTGGAGACTGTTTAACACTAGGTTTCTGAAAAAGTTACTGCGCCTTTCATCTTTTTCTTTGCGAAGGGTCTTTTGATTTATTATGTACAAAAGTACGTCTTTAGGGTCTGTGAATGTATTTCCTCCTCTATATGTAGTTAAAAGTATGCCTTTTTTGGTAATAAAGCATCAACATATGTGCTTTTTATTTTGTACAAATTGTTGCAGCACAACTATTATATTGGCTCCTCTCCAGGTATATGGTTCTAAAAAATTGTTAGAACAAAAAAGGTTCTGAAGTATACTTCATTCTCGAGCCTACTCGTTCTATCAACTGTTAATCTGCATTTGTGACTGCAATTATGGTAGCTTAACCACATTACTGTTGTACGAAAGCACAATTTTAATATTCTAAGGGATAAAAGCCTATTTTTAGGTTTTCGATTGTTACCATAATCCGTTCTGTTAGTTTTCCAGCGTTAAGGTACACGGGGAGTACTAAGCGTTATGTACATTTACAATTGGACAATGGCACCCAACTATGGAACGTTGTCGAGTGGAGTGCGATTAATATCTTTAGGAAAAAACTTATTAATAAACGACCTCCTTTTTATAAGAGTTCATATTTTGAAGCCGTATAAAATATTTTAACTTTCGGATTGTTGTAATGTGAAACCTTAAATATAATTAGAAAATTTGGTTTCTTGCCAACCTTAACTAAAAAATGTTTTTACATTGGTCGCTACAAAGCGCATTGTATTATTTGGGAGATTTACAGAATTTTTTGAGTAAATGTAATAAAAAAAAATTTATCTTATCATACCCAGCTTCTTTCCAACCAAAACTGATGACACTTTCAAATAAACAACAGCGAACAAATAAAAAACGAACTATTGAGGAAATTATTCAGAATTAATAACAGAAAATCTGAAACATTAAATAAACAAATCTAAGTTTACTTAAATTATCTTCTGTAAGGGTATAAAAATTGAATAATTTAATAAATAATAAAATATCTCTTAGGGAGGTCGTTGACGCTCAGGATGCCTTGTGGAAGTTTTAGTCCAGATTTTGGCAAGAGCAGTTAACGACCCAGCGACTTCATATATGTAAATGGACTACTCGGGCTATTAACTTTAAGAAGGTAACGGTAGCTGCGTTCCTTGGCGTTGTAAAAACATTTGATCAAGTTTGGAGTGAAGGTCTGCTGCGCAAACTGCGCTCGTTACCGTTCCTCGTGACCTTTACAACGTGCTGAGGTCATATCTAAATGGTTGCTTTTCACTGTCGAAATTAACCGCAACTCCGAAAAGGGGACGCTGGCAGTTACGTGCGATTAGTTCTTTATAAGACACGTTCGACATTCAGCATGCGCGTGGGGGATACACCGCCGCCGCCGCTGCGATCTCAGCAGGGGTTCCTCAGGGATCCCTTCTTTCGCCCCTTTTATTTGCAACTTATATGAGCGACGGTCCCTACCATTAAATCCACACAAACGAAGCGCCCTGAACGCCGATAATATACGACCGTTTTGCGCCTTGCTAGCAAGCATTTAGAGCGCTATCTTGACGCCCTTGCTGATTGGTGCCATAATTAAAAAGTCCTACAAATGCGATGAGAGCTAAGCGCTTTTAATAACTAAGAAACGCATCCCTTGTTGGCGCCCTTAACCTTTGATGGCGGACGATCCCTTGGTGTTCTCAAGAGTCATCATTGACAACAACTTTCCTGACAGTCGCACGTGGACTATGTAGTAAAGAAGGTCAAGGCAGCAATAAGACACTTTACCTTTTACTAAAAGCTTTCTCTGCGAAGCAAAACGGCATTGTTTATCTTACATCCAGCTAATAATGACATATGCTTCCACTGTGTTGACCTAACGACTCCACTACAATACCGTCGCCACTTTAAGTGCGACAGAACAAATTGCTGAAATGAAGCTCTTCACTGGGACTTGCAGTTGGACCCTGTAGACATGCTCTTCCAACGTAATGCCAATGCCCTTTACGACAGGCTAGTCAGGCACACTAATCGCCTGCTGATGAGTAAACTTATTTACGAGACTGGGGACGGGAACGTTATCCCCGCCGAAGTGAAGGGCTATTTTTTTTTGTTAATGTCAAGAACATAATGGCATCTTTATGCTGAAAGCTATTATATAACATGTCTGCGATCACTCCTGATCGAGAGCTCGAGTATTTGAAGTTTTTGACTCTATCGAGTACCAGGTGCTGTTAGATTATAAACAACTAAATAAATTAATAAAAATTTTGTTCTTTGGTTTGGTGGCGTCCTTTCGGGCTATAAAGATGTTTTAGGTTTATTGTGTAGAGGACAATTTAATATATTGTTTTGTTGTCGAGGGCCGAGAAGAGTGTTGTCCGTAATTATCTATAGGATAGTTTATTAAGAGCTTAGCGACAAAAGAGAGTGTGTATTATTAAAGAGCCTCATAGCGAAAAGAAAAATTTAAGTAGTCGGCTTCTCAACTTTATTAAATTTGCTACCTCTTTTATACATTCCCCCAAACGCAAGTAATTTTCGGTCGCTCAGATAAATACATGAAACCATCATACCGGGGAGAATCGGGTAGATTAGCGGTTAAAGCATTGAAGCGCATGCTCAAGGTCTAGGTTCGGTCTCCACCGACGCGACTCTCCTTTTCGGTCTTTGATGGTCGCGTATTTAACCCCGCCCTCAAAAAAAAATTTAATACACTGTTGCCATATCTCTTTTAGGCCTCCTTAACTTTACTTACAAATAATACGATGTAATGCGTTCTTTTTTTTATATAGCAATGGTACAGCTCTCTTTCCGTTGAATCTTTGTTCTTTGAAACAAATTTTGAACCCAACTTGGGGCATCTTTTTCTAAAGTTGCGATCAATCTCAATGGTATGAGTCCTCTATCTACCATTAAGTTAAAATTTAAAAGGTTATTTTCTGTAAAAACCGCAAATTAAAAACTTGGGCTAAGAAAAATTAAAAAGCCTTCATAGTTGAGGGCCAGAAAAAGGGTTAGGCAGGATTCCCTTATTAGCAGAATAGATGAAAATCCTTTTTCCGGTGTGGGGAAGTTTACAAAGAAACGACCGAGATAGAAAAAAAAATTGAGGCTAAGTGGAAATTACATCAGGAGGTTTTTGAAGCCAAATTATAGAAAATTTCCAACAATGAAACTTGCGTCACACCGCAAACTTGTTAAAATGGGAAAGAAAGTAGCATGAGGAAACTGTCACAGATATTTTGGACAAATTCGATAACCGCTTAAAACTGCATTCCATTGAAATTAGTTTATTAACAGTAAAGTTTCATTGATCCCTCTCCAGTTTTCCCGATGATATTAGCCGCAACACGTTTAAGAGCAACACATAAATACGGAGGTATGTCGTTGGAGGGAGTTCTAACTTCATCGCTCTTATTAAGTGGTTCAGGCCAGGCACCTAATATACTTTACTAGGAACTTGAAGTACTCAAAAAAAATTAGAAAGCGAAATATTATTGTAACAGCAAGGAAAATAAAGATCACAATAAATGTTAACCCTATGAATCCTTGTCTAAATAAAAAAATAGATAGCTTCTATTTGCTTAGTAAACCCTGGTATGGATGCAAATGATGGGACACAGGAGATACTTTCCTTTTAAAAGAAAAAAGGTGCAATAATTTGTCATCTTACTATCTGCCCTCATAGCATTGATCCGTAACGTTGGATTGCCATCCTCAGGTTTATTCTAATGTAAAAGTTCTGATAAATCTTCATGGTAATGATTAGTAATCCTCTACTATACGTTCTCTTTTGACTTTACCTGAAAACTTAAGTTATTAATTTGTACTTAGCTTAAAAGGAATATTTACAAACCAATGAGCGTGATCACGGTTGCCATGCTTTCGGAGAAATATCATCAGCGGTGCCTTGGATCGAGAAGAGTCTTAAGGTTGCGTTACACACGGTTCGAGTGCTTTTAAAAAAAAAATATACTCATGTAGAAAAAGAGACCTTGGACAGGTTCTATCTTTTTTGAGATCTTTACAGGTAGTACCTTATAAATTTCCCTTATAAGTATAGTTTCACTTTGAGGGCAATAGGTCTTGTACCATGTAAGGACACCTGCGGAGGACCGCGTCTTATGCATGTTGCTGAGGTGTAAGTATTGTCATTTCTGCCTTTTACATTTATCTTCTCTGGGGGAGCCTGGATTGGGTCTCCATTGTAATTAGCTAACTTGTCTTGCTCTTAATATGAGGCATTATGAGATGGGCTAAGTTGTGGAAAGTTCTGCATCTTTTCGTGAATAATTGTTGACGAAAGCGAGGGATTACTCTTTTGTGTCCTGTAGAGCTAAGAAGCTTCCATAGAGGAGTGACACGAAACCACACTATTAGCATTGTAGCTAAATGCTAATAAACGTTAAAATCTGGTTTTATTGTAGGTACCTTGTACTAGCATTATACTAAAGTTGCTTGATACTGTGTGAAAGTGCAGTACTTGACTAAGAAACTTAGCTAACTGAAAGAGTGCTTACTTTCCATCTATAGATACTCTATAGTATAGGATACAATAGTATTTTTCTTATATGTAAGCGGCACTCGTCAAAATCTACAGGGCCGTATATGAACAAGTTCTAAAAATTACTTAAAAGTTAAATGGCCACTGATGAGGGGAAGCTTCATAATGAATTAGCCCTAATTATTCTAGACCTAGTAAAGCATATTATAAGTGGGGAAAATTTTGTGATAACGAGGATCAACGACCTTATTAAAATAATACAGGAGGATGGACGCCGAACCGCATTTGTTGAACTATACGCTCTAATCAGACTTGACTGAACAAGAGCATTACACTTGGTATGAACAATAGCATTTCCTCCTATGCAGAGACCTGACAAAGTTATTGCGACTAAAACAAAGCTGGTTTAACCTTTTAAGCTTATAGGAAAGGGCAGTGTGTAGTTAGGCAGCAAGTCATAAGATATATAATTGACGTAAAGGCCCTTTAAGCTGGTAGCCGGAGAAAAAAGGGGCTGAAAGTAAAATATATCTCGACGCTGGTTGTGCCAGGAAGTATGACATGCAAGCAAAACTGTATGCTAATCAGGTTAGTTTTAAGCAAACACTCGAGAAATGCATC